TCACATACACTCATGTAAAATATGGACATTCATATGCAAACACCATACTCCCAAGCCAGATGTGTGCAGTTTACTTTACCCAAAGCAGAGATTCAGTGCACACTCGCCCACCCGGAGTGTGCTCACAGACGGCCCAGAGATACAACATCATCAAATAAACATCCAGCATCCCCCGCTCCCACCCCCCGACTTGAGCAACCATCTGGTTGCCCATCCAACAGCCTGTACTGGTTTTCCTTTAACGTTCTCTTCTCTGGAACCAGCGCACCATTGCCCACTGGCTCAGGTCATGCACCTTGACTCCACCGTCTCTCTTGCCCCCCCCACATCCAGTCTGTCTGTAAAGCCCGCCATGACGGCCTTCAAAGTGCATTGCATCTCCACACTAGTTACTTCTCCCCTCTCCATGCCATCGTCCTCCTGCATGCCATAATCTGCCACCTGGACGTTGCTCTCACTGCCCCTCATGCCCCACTTCCACTGTGTCACCTAGAATCTGTGCTCCACGTTTAGCCAGCGCTAAAGAACCCTCCATGTCTTCCACTGCACTTTACATGTAGACTCCTTATCCAACCAAGCCCACGAGTCTCCACACTCAGACCCTGTTCCTCTCTCTCCCCTCACTCCAAGCTCTCTCAGGACATGGACCCTCTCACCGCCTCAGGCACACTCATCCCTCCCCCACACCAGGGCCTCTCCACCATTCACTGTCACCCCTGCCTGGTGCCCTTACCCTGACCCTTGCTATGGCCACACTCATCCTCCAGGTCTCTGTTGAAATGTCACCTCCTTGGAGAGGTCTTCCCTGATCATCCAACCTAAAGAGGACACTCCCCATTCCTCTCCTCCACGGCCCCCTGTTTCCTGGGTCGCACGTATCACCAGAAGCATTTCTCGATGTTCCTTATCTCCCTCTAAACCTGCAGTGTCCCAGAGTGGCCACTAGCCACATGCAACTATTTGAATTAAATAAAATTAGGAATTCAGCTGATGGTTGCATTAACCATACCCCAAGTGCTCAAGAGCTGCAGGTGGACAGTGGCTACTCATCAGCATGGACATTTCCATCATCCAGAAGGTTCTCTGGGATGGTCGCCTGGGGAGGACAAGACAATGTCTCTTCTACTCGCTCTGTGTACTCTGTGCCCTGCATGGTGTCTGGCTCAGCAGGGGCTCAGGAAATAGTTACTGAATGAACTCACATGTGTGCAGGCCCATCAGGAGAGAAGATGCGGCATGTTAAGGACCCATTCAAATGCCACCTCTTTCTTGAAGGCTCCTTGTCATCTCTGCCTTCCTCTTTCTCCCATCATGATGCTTGTGCCTCTGTGACAGACAGACCTTTATTGGCCCTTATTGGCCACAGACCTCAGTTTACTGCAGAGCGTTTTACCCCACTTCCACCATGAAATGGAAAGGGGAATGGAAGAAATATCAGGAGCCTTATCCTCATTGTGTCCCCAGACCTCCATACATTTCTCCACCCCCCACCCCTCTCTCTCTCAGTGCTGGGGATTGAACTCGGGGGTGTTTAACCACTAAGCCACATTCCCCAGCCCCCTTTTTTATTTATTTATTATTTTTTTTGAGACTGGGTCCTGCTTAGTTGCTGAGGCTGTCCTCAAACTTGCCATCCTCCTGCCTCAGCCTCCCAAGCCACTGGGATCACAGCTTTGCATCACTACACCCAGCTCCATCCATCTCTTTGGAGGCAACAAAGCAGCTCCATTGAGAGTGCAAATCCTGGACACAGGTAATCTCAGGTCCTCACACCCGTTCCGCCTCCTACTAGATGTGACTTTGAAGAGACTGCCCAGTGTCCTCAGGTCTCAATTTCCTCATCTGTAAAATGTGCGTGACAATGAATACTTCACAGACCTGCTTTTCAGAGTAAAATATAATATGTAAAATAATGTATGTCCAAGATGTCGTGCAGTGTTCCCTCTGAGGATGTCACGTCCCTAGCAGAAGTGAGACTCATTGGCATTCTACACGCTATACACAGTCTTGTATGGAAACCTCGGTTTGTTCTAAATTTATTCCAAAGGTGCCTGAAAATCCTCATAGATGGGAGCCCCGGGTCACTGTCCACATAGCCTAATCACTAGCTGGGCTCTGTTTCTGATCCAGTGACTGCAGTTCTTAAGCAAAATAATTAATGGTTGCATTTTGGTAATTAATTTCGTTGATATTAAAATGCTAATATTTTGTTAAAGGCAAGCTGTGATCAGCACAGAACCCGCACATGGCCAGCATGTATGGTGAGCTTCCTCCATTCTTCTTGTAGCAGGGACAGACGAGGCAAGGCACCAAAGATAGCAGCAAACAGTTTTATTTGGCTGCAGCCAGGTTCAGAGAGCACAGCTTTTGCTATAATCAATCAATCCCCTGAACCCCAAATTCAGGTAGTTTCAGAGTTTTATACCCAGCATGTAAGGGGAGGGGCTCAGAAGTTCACATTCTGCAGAAGTTCACATAAAAGCAGCTTTTTCTTTCACTGTTTTGGGCAAGTTAACTCTTCAAGGACAACACCTGAGAAGGGGAGAGCTTCTTCTCCCCTCTCTTTCCTCCCCCTGCCAGCTGTTACCATGGAGCCCAATTGTAACTTATCTTAAAAATGTAGACATCTCTGTGAAGCCCAGCTCAAGGCCAGAGGCCTTGTTTGCACATTTCTACAAACTACTATACTGGATACATGTTAATGAAAAACCAGTAAGGGGGTGTTCATCACCTGGAGTGCTGGTGTCTTCCCAGCCAGTGGCCAAGTAAAACAGGGCGACACAAAAATAGGAAGTTTATCTACATTGAACTCCTTTGCAGAGACTGTTTTGCTGACAGTCCTAAAGTCAGCCATGGTGAAGATTACTGGAGAAACCCAGGTCAGTATTTTCTGTGGAGAAAGGGGGTGCCACTTCATTCTGGCTAGAGTGCCTGCAGGTAGGATGAGAGGGAAGAAGGTCCTGACCCAAATATATTATCAGAAAGGAAGGAGCAGACCCCAAAAGGAGGCAACTGGCTGTGGAGAAAGAGGAGCAGGGAGCAGAGGGAATCTAGCCATCAAGGAAAATGCAGCATTGCGCAGTGGAAAATTCATGGGATCTGGGTCCAATCCCAGCTCTGCTTCTCACTAGCTGTGTGACCTTGAATGAGTTGCTTATCCTCTTGTGCTCACGTGTGTGAAGCAGGGATAATGACAGCACCTAGTTCAATGGGTTGTTCTGAGGCGTAAATGTGCTTGTAGTTATGGAGTGCTCAGGACGGTACCTGGCACATGTTCGTTTGTGTAATAAATTGGTGAAGAAATTGGAGAAGGGCTGAGAACTGGGTCTGGGAATCTCCCCCAAACCTCCCTCCCCTCTTCTAAGTCCACCTACCAAAACTTCTTCCTATTTTCTTTAAAGTCCTCCCCATTTCCACCCACTCCCCCCTTCCAATTTGAAGCAGATTCCATCAAAGACACAAAAGGACTCTCAAGGAAATATAAAGTGACCCAAATGGGGGAAACGCTCAGCCACTGGTCCTCATTATGACTCAGGGTGTGGGAATTAAAACCGCACGACAGGCCTCGGAGGGTCTCGCTCAGGACCAGGAGGCGCTCAGAACTCTTTCCAATCGAGTGCACCTTTGTTCAATTGGAAATCTTAATGCAGCGTGTAACTCCTGGGTGGACTGCAGACATCCCTGATTCAGAGTCGTTTTAAATACTGAAATAACACTGATCAGCTAACAAAAACTGCCTGCCTTTCAGCACTTAACGACAATGCAGTGTGCCAGAACATCAGAATATGATTTTTTTTTTAAGTCTTAGAGTCCCCTATCCCTCCCCGATTTCAGGGTGAAGAGCCAGGAGGGAAGAGAACCCATGGTCCAGTGAGGCAGACCCGGGAGGTTTTGAGACCTGGGAGCCAAGGATGCAAGGGTGTGGGGTGGAAGGAAAAAGAGAAGAGACAGACAGACAGACAGACAGATGGACTACAGTCTACAACAGGTAGAGTAACAGACCCCCCAACAAAGATATCCACAGTTTAATCCCAGAATTTATGAATGTTTACTTCTAAGGCAAAAGAGATCTGCAGATGTGATTAAGTGAAGGATCTCCAGATGCAAAGGTTATCCTGGATCACCTGGGGGCTCCAATGTCATCACAACTATCCTGATAAGAGGAAGGCAGGATGCCCAGAGTAGAGTACAGAAATAGAGGCCCAAGTGATGCTGGACCACAATCCAAGGAATGTGGGAAAATTCTAGAAGCTAGAAAAGGTAAGGAAACAGATTCTTTCCTGGAGCCTCAGGAAGGAACACAGCCTGCTGACTCATTTCAGACGCCTGTCATACAGAACGGTAAGACAACACATTTGTTATTGCATTGAACCACATTTGTGGTAATTGGTTGCAACACCAATGAGAAACTAATGAAGGGTCCATAATAGGCAATGAGGGTGATCGATTCAACAGCAGATACTTCCTGGAGGCCTACTGAGCGCAGGTACTGCTCAGGGCCTGGAGAAACAGCAAAGCCTGCTCCCCGGAGCTCTCATTCTGGTGGAAGGAGACGGTAAATAAATGAGTTAAACAGATGGGACAATTTCAAATAGCTAAAAGCACATGAAAAGAATAATAGAGGTGACATGGGGGAAAGCTATAGCAGTAGGAAGGGAGCCCCTGTGATTAGATGGGGGAAAAAATCTTCCTGAGGAGGTAGCCAAGAAATGAAGAGTTAGCCAGGCAAAGACTGGAGAGAAGTGTATCTTGGACTGTATGGTTGAAACGTTGCTGCGTAACAAGCCACCCCAAAATTCAACAGCTTACAACAGCCATTATTTGCTCCCAAGGTTACAGTTCGGGCAGAGTTCAGTGAGAACCCTTCACCTGTGCATCATGCAGCATCAGCTGGGATAGCTAAACTAGGGTAGGATGGTACCCACTCACACGGTCCACTAGTTGGTCTCAATGCCAGCTGGAAACTCATCCGGGGCTGTCAATTAGGAAGGTCAACTCACCTCCACATGGACCTCCATGAGGCTGCTTGAGCTTCCTCAGAGTATGGTAACTGAGTTCCAACAGGAAGGAGGCAGAACTGGCAATCCATGGTATCATTTCTACCACATTTGATTGGTCCATAGTACAATCAAAGCTCAGATTGAAGGGAGTGGATGAGTAGACACTCTCTCTGTGTGGGGAGAGGGACAAATAATCAGTGGTCATCTTTCTTCCATCATATATACCCAGAGGCATTGCAGTTGCAAAAGCCCTGAAGTGGAAATGACATTGATGGGCTTGAGGAGAGAAGTGAGGCTGCCTAAGAGAAATGAGCGAAGAGGAGACAGCGAAGATGGGGCCAGGGAGGAGGGCAGCCTCCAGATCACGCAGGGCCTGTAGGCCATGCTAATGGGTTTAGGTATTACTCCGAGGTAATGGGAAGCCACTGGAGCAAGGAAGGGACATAATCTGATAGCAGCTTTTAAAATACAGCTCTTGACACTGTGTGGAGAGAGGGAAGTGAAGGGGCAGGTTATTGCGATGAGACCGTTGATTGACATGGGAGCCAAGAGAAGGCCCAAGGTCTGGTTTCCGTTGCTCAGTTTTTCAATTTGGGGGGAACAGTAATGAAAGGGAGAGGGGGAAGAGAAGATGGTGGGCCCATTCTAGACTAGCAGAGTTTTGGAACCAAAGGAAAGAAGTTGTTAAAAACAGGGGCCTTGGCATCGACTCTGCTGTTGCTAACTCGTGACCTTGAGCAAGAAACTTGTCCTTTCTCACCTTTAGTTTTCATAAAATGAGGATAATAATATTTATCTTATAAAGTTAGTGGGAAAGATTAAATAAGGTCATTAATTTATTCAACAAATGTACATTGAATGCCAACTATGTGCTTGAAAAAGACAACAAACGACTCTACCTCTGTGGAGCTTATAGCTAAAGGCAGAACGATATTGATCTATAAATAATTTAGTGCCTGGCACATAATACCACTCCATAGCTATTTTTATTGTGCTGCATTGGAGGAGCTTATGGCACCCCCACGTGGAGAGTTTCAATAGTCAATTCCATATTCAGTCTGGCTGTCCCAGGAGTGGCTCTCATTTCACTGAACACCTACTAAGGGCCAGGCACTGAATTAGGCTTTTTCATATCTGCTAAGCTCCTAGAGCTTCCAAACAGTGGAGCTGCCAAGAGTTTGATTCCTCAGATGCCGGGATGAATAATTTATACCAGGCACTCAAAGGGCTGCAGACTCTGGCCTCTGATGTGTCACAGGCGCAAGTGGGAAGGATCAAAGCAGTTTGTCACACCCGCTTCCTCTATAATTTATATTGAATGTGGTGCCCACATGCAGGCCACCATTTTAAACAGTCCGTGTGTATCAGCTCCTTATATCCTCACAAAAACCTTATGAAATATGCACTCCTGTCATCCCCAAATTACAGATGAGAACAATGAGGCCCAGCCAGAGGCACAAAGCTAGTTAGTAATTGGCCCACCTGGAATGTAAGCCCAGACCGGGGGTACTCCAGGCTCTGCTAGCCTACATTGCCATCCCTTGGATACCTGAGGATAGCAGAAGACCCAGTGGCCTTCCCTATCATGCAGGCCTCTCTGAGCCCAAGGCTGCCACTGGCCAGAGACAGCACGATGTCTTGGGGGAAGAAAGCCAGCCTGGGAGTGACATCAACTGGGAGCCAAGGTCTGGCCCTATCGCTCAGCCACAGACCTCAGGGAAGAACCTGAGCCTCCCTGGGCTTCAGCTTCCTCTTGATGAAACAGAGGGCCCATTCATTCATTCACTCGACCAATATGCACTGAGAGACTTCATGTCCTAGGAAGAGTGCCACCAGTGAGACACACACTGTCCCCAGTCCCCAAGAATCTGACATTCTAGCAAGGAAGACAGAGGAGAAAACAGGGAAATAAGCAAAGTGAGATGAGCCATAAGGAGCCCCTTGGGAGAAAGCACAAGGGCTGAGGGGGAGAGCAGGGGTGCACACCTATTTTGAAGGGGACATATTTTGGACGAATCTGGAGTAGTCACCTGACCCCTGAGAAGGAGCCAGCCACACCCCTGGGAGGAGCCAGAGCACTCCAGGCAGATGGAAGGTGTTTGGGCACGGAGGGAAGCCCAGGGAGGCCCAGGGGGGCCCAGGGGGGCTGGTCTCTCTTCCTAGCTTGGGCCTAGGACTGCTGGTCTCTCTTCCTAGCTTGTGGCAGCACCAAAGAGGACTGTGCCTACAAAGCAGCAGACAGGATGCCTGACATGTGGCAGACACTTGACAAATGTGAGCTCTCTTCCTCCTCCCTCCCCCAGCTGGGTGCCATGGTGCCAGAATGGGGCTCCTTCCAGGGGGACCCACATCCCCGGAGTCCCAGCCGACAAGCTCCAACGACGGCACGGGGTCTCCGAGCTCCCAGCCCGTCTCTGCCACCATGGAAGTGCACACTTTCTCCCTTTGTCTAATTATTCCTAATTGGAAGAAAAATTGTTTGGTAAATCAACTGGCATCTCCTTGGCTCCCGTGTCCTAGCAACCCGACTCTGGGGGGGGGGGGGGGGGGGGTTGGGGTGACACTGGAGAGGAGGCGACTTGCCGCCTCCGCGCTGCACGGAGTGCCAGGGAAGGGCAGACGCGACAGCTACACCCCCAGACTGGAGTGTCCCTTCCCTGTGGCCCCTGGCTGCCGCCGCACCCAGTCAGCACCCAGGAGCACGCGAGCGCACGGACATGCGCACACGCTCCGCGGAGGCCACCGAGCTCGCCGTGCCTGCGACGCCACCTCGGCCTTTCTGGAAAGCAGAAGGTGTCTCAGAAATAGATTTCTAATTTTCCAGCCACCTGCTCGGCTGAAAGATATTCTGGAGTTTATAATTACTTTTCAGGCACTTAACTAGAATCTAGTTTCTAGGGCAACTTGATGCATCTCCTAATGTGTTGATGGGTAAATTTCAGCTTCCTGCGCAGCCCAGGGTGGCGGGAGACTGGTCCAGCCAGGTCTCAGGGGAGGCCACCGCTTCCCTGGTTTGTTTTTTGAGGCTAGTAATCCTCATCTGACAGCATCGGGGAAGGAGTAAATGAGATAATAGGGCTTTGACTCCTGGCCCAGGCCCCGGACGTTTCCTGAGAATTTTTCATCAGCAGATTTATAGTTCTAAGGCACACAGAGGGCATGACCTTCACCTTCCAGGGGCTCTCGGTTCCCGGCCATGCCTCAGAGGCAGAAACTCCCTCCTCCCCCTCTAACAAATGGCTAGAGTTTGGTGGTTGGCCAGAGTTTAAATCCTACCCACACCAACTCTGGGCTGGGTAATAATGGGCAAGTTATCCACCATCTCTGGGCCTCAGTCTCCCGAACTGGAAAGTAGAGGTGATAGTGGTTCCCACCTCAGAGGCTGGTTAAGGGGATTAAAAGAGTTCATCCATGGCTGCGTGTGGTGGCACACACCTGTGATCCAAGCAACTTGGGAAGCTGAGGCAAGAGGATCGCAAATTCAAGGCCAGCCTCAGCACCTTAACAAGGCCCTGTCTCAAAATAAAAAATAAAAAGTGGGGCTGGAGACTTAGCTCCGTGGTAAAGCACCCCTGGATTGAATTCTCAGTACAATAAAAGAGAGAGAGAGAGAAAGATAATTCACATAAGCACTTGGCATGAGGCCCAGTTCATAACAAGCACTGATTCTATCACTGTTGTTAGGGAATAATCCAAGAGCAGTTGCCCAGGGTCAAACAAGTCTGGTTAGGGATACAGGAAGCAGGAGACAGTTCAGGGCACTTACCAACTAGGACAGAGGTCTCCCAGGAAAGGAGGGTGTGTATACATTATAACTTCTATTTGTATTTCTACCTCGTCCTTTTTGATTTCAATTTCTGTATGTCTGACCATGTGTGTATTTTATAAATATATATTGAGAGGCTCCACTCAAGAAAGTTTCATGGACAGGGGATTATCGTCCAAAAGACGGCAGGAGAGAGAGAGAGAGTAGAACAAATGATTTGAGATGGAAGAGGGCTGAGATGCCATTTTACCCATCCCCACCCTTATCATTACACAGGGGGATACTGAGGGTCAGAAGGGGCTCATGATTAACCCAGAATCACATCAGAAACAAAGAGCCAAGCCCTGAGAGACCCACAGAAAGTCCAAGAAGCTGGAGCCACAGAGTTCCCAGGCTACAGGAGCCCCATGGGTGAAACAGTCCTGGAAACCTTCCTGGAGGAGGTGACAGGACCTGACCTTTGAGCAGAAGAACAAAGTCACATCTGGGCCAAACCCAGAAAAGATGAGCCATTGCTTGCAAACCTAGTCCCACACCACCGCCGCCCAGGGTCTTGACATGAGCTGAGGACTCGCTCTGGGCCAATTTCAAATCCTCTAGGGCTGGCAGATTTCCTGAATTACCTAAGAGCCGAGCAGGCGTGAACAGGTGTCAGCTCACCTGGGAGAGCTGTCTGTCCTCACACTGGCTCCTGGTTGCTCCCTCTGGATTTTCACCTGCCTCTCTGTCGTCCACTCCGTCGGTTTCTTTCTCTGTTTCTGGTGGCTTGCCGGTCTTCCTTGGTCAGTCCATCTCCCTCTTGCCTGAGGGACCTGGGCGGTGTCACTGTCTCTGGCCTTCAGTGGGCTCCTCCCTGGATGTGTAATTGGGGTCCCTGCTCCCCCAACTGGGCTTCTCGCCTCCTCTGTGACTGACTCATAGCATGTCTCTGGGTTTGCCTGCCGTCTTCTTTCTGGGCCTGTTTCTCTCTCCCTCTCTCTCCCTGGTTCTGGGCGTGTGTGAATGGAGGTGGTACAGATCTGGGTTTCTGTCTCGGGTCCTGTCGGCCTGCTGCCCGCCTTCTTCCTGGGCCTCTCTCTCAGCCAGTGGTTCTGAGTGTAAACCCTAGGGGCTGGTAGCATTGCCTGGGCATTCAGTACAAATGCACATTCTCAGCACCACCCCAGACCCGCGTCAGAAACTCCATCCAGGGCTGGGGGCCCCACGATCTGTGTTTCAACAAACCCTCTCCCTGGGGGCTTCTGAAGCACTAGTTTAGTCTCTCTTCTTGGATCTGCCTGTGGCAAGGGAAGAAAGGTAGAAATGTCCCTTGGCTCTGGTGTGACTTCGTCCCTTTCATTCTCCCTGTGGGTCACACCTAAGGCCACTGGACCTAAAGCAGCTGTATCACCCTGGGCACACTTC